ACATTCATCATATTCTGATTCTATTCTCTTTGCATAAACAATAATATGCATTTTCAATTTCTAGTCTTAAGTATAAGCATTATTTCCAGTTAGCTATTTAGGTTCTTTGTCTCATTTTCTTTGCATTAACCAATGATAAACATAAATTCTAGATTACTCTAACCCAGGTTTTGATTTCTAAGCATTCTTTTTGTGATTAACCATCATCCTTCATTAAATTTCATATTTCTAGATTTCTTAAAACTATTGCATCTTCATTCCATCTTCATTAAATTAACTTTAGTATTTTGCACTGCATAAACTTATCTCAAGTTCACATATCTGCATCTGGCTTTGTGAATATGAAAAGATTAGGTGTTAATTGCACATTTTCAGCCATACATGCATTTTCATTTTAACATCTAACCTACACTTGTTTAAATCTTGTAGTTGTCTCCCTTGCATCAATACATTATTTTCTGGTGCAACCCAATTCTGTCCACCTTATGTTTGAATGCATGACTTTTATTTCTTACCTTTTTGAACTCTAAGTGCATCTTTCATTTTAATAGGCTACATTATACATGGTACATGCATTTAAGTTTTAAAATCTATATTGTTTACATCAGTTTTCATTTCCCACGCATCCCTTTAAACATTGCATACTTTCCCTTCCATTCGTTGAATATATTTTGTTGCAATGCTCGATATCCATTTCCTTACATTCTGTTTCACTATCCTTTTATTAAATGTTATATGTAAGAAAAAATTGATGCATATGAATCTACAACAACATCATCCTCTCAAATAAAAGAAATATCAAGTTCATATTCATTGGCTCTTGCTTTAGGAAGCCAAGAGCATTGTGGACGTGTTCATGGTCTAGGTTTGGGTCCTTGCCCATCTAAAATCTTTGAAATCAATGGTCGTTGCCATAATGAATCATATTCAACTTCTCCTTTTTTAGAATTACAAACTCAGGTCTATACATATTTTACCAATATTTACTTGTTTTGTTGCTTTTATCAATAACTTATTGGCTAAAAATGTTCTTACTTTTCATGATTCTAGATTTCTTAAAACTATTGCATCTTCATTCCATCTTCATTAAATTAACTTTAGTATTTTGCATTGCGTAAACTTATCTCAAGTTCACATATCTGCATCTGGCTTTGTGAATATGAAAAGATTAGGTGTTAATTGCACATTTTCAGCCACACATGCATTTTCATTTTAACATCTAACCTACACTTGTTTAAATCTTGTAGTTGTCTCCCTTGCATCAATACATTATTTTCTGGTGCAACCCAATTCTGTCCACCTTATGTTTGAATGCATGACTTTTATTTCTTACCTTTTTGAACTCTAAGTGCATCTTTCATTTTAATAGGCTACATTATACATGGTACATGCATTTAAGTTTTAAAATCTATATTGTTTACATCAGTTTTCATTTCCCACGCATCCCTTTAAACATTGCATACTTTCCCTTCCATTCGTTGAATATATTTTGTTGCAATGCTCGATATCCATTTCCTTACATTCTGTTTCACTATCCTTTTATTAAATGTTATATGTAAGAAAAAATTGATGCATATGAATCTACAACAACATCATCCTCTCAAATAAAAGAAATATCAAGTTCATATTCATTGGCTCTTGCTTTAGGAAGCCAAGAGCATTGTGGACGTGTTCATGGTCTAGGTTTGGGTCCTTGCCCATCTAAAATCTTTGAAATCAATGGTCGTTGCCATAATGAATCATATTCAACTTCTCCTTTTTTAGAATTACAAACTCAGGTCTATACATATTTTACCAATATTTACTTGTTTTGTTGCTTTTATCAATAACTTATTGGCTAAAAATGTTCTTACTTTTCATGATTCTAGATTTCTTAAAACTATTGCATCTTCATTCCATCTTCATTAAATTAACTTTAGTATTTTGCATTGCGTAAACTTATCTCAAGTTCACATATCTGCATCTGGCTTTGTGAATATGAAAAGATTAGGTGTTAATTGCACATTTTCAGCCACACATGCATTTTCATTTTAACATCTAACCTGTAGTTGTTTAAATCTTGTAGTTGTCTCCCTTGCATCAATGCATTATTTTCTGGTGCAACCCAATTCTGTCCACCTTATGTTTGAATGCATGACTTTTATTTCTTACCTTTTTGAACTCTAAGTGCATCTTTCATTTTAATAGGCTACATTATACATGGTACATGCATTTGAGTTTTAAAATCTACATTGTTTACATCAGTTTTCATTTCCCACGCATCCCTTTGAACCATTGCATACTTTCCCTTCCATTCGTTGAATATATTTTGTTGCAATGCTCGGTATCCATTTCCTTACATTCTGTTTCACTATCCTTTTATTAAATGTTATATGTAAGAAAAAATTGATGCATATGAATCTACAACAACATCATCCTCTCAAATAAAAGAAATATCAAGTTCATATTCATTGGCTCTTGCTTTAGGAAGCCAAGAGCATTATGGACGTGTTCATGGTCTAGGTTTGGGTCCTTGCCCATCTAAATTCTTTGAAATCAATGGTCGTTGCCATAATGGATCATATTCAACTTCTCCTTTTTTAGAATTACAAACTCAGGTCTATACATATTTTACCAATATTTACTTGTTTTGTTGCTTTTATCAATAACTTATTGGCTAAAAATGTTCTTACTTTTCAAATAATGTTTTCTATTTCAAGTATCTTCATTGACATCACAAGTCAATGAAATGAAGGCAATAATGACATTTATGCTTCAAAATTATCATGGTCAATTATCACTGCATTCACATCTGCCTAACTCACTCTGTAGAGATGACCAAAACTGAGACGTAAACCGAGGATCCTGATCGGATATAATACTGGATGACACCTCATGTAATCGAACCACCTCTTTGATGTAGAGTTGAGCTAACTTTGCCATTGACATCTTCAAGTTAATGGCAAGGAAATGAGCACTTTTAGTTAACCTGTCCACTATCACCCAGATAACATCATGACTTCTGACCGTTTGGGGTAAATGGATAACAAAATCCATAGCAATGCTATCCCATTTCCACTCAGGAATTTCCAATTGCTGCAACAAACCTTCTGGTCTTTGATGCTCCACTTTATCTCTTTGACATGTTAAACATGAAGACAAAAACCAAGCCATATCACCCTTCATTTCGGACCACCAAAACGATTCTTTGAGGTCTTGATACATTTTAGTCATGCCTGGATGCATGCTAAAACGACTTTGATGTCCTTCCTCAAGAATTGATCTCTTCAACCCCCCGTCATTGGGCACACAAACCCTTCCTCTAAACCTTAAGAGACCGTCAGTCCTTATACTGAAATCCTTTCCCTGTTCTGGACCGACCAACTCCCTAGTCTTCTGTATTTCCACATCAGTCGACTGCTTCTCTTTGACTCGGTCTAATAAGTCACTTGTCAACTTAAGACTGCAACACCTTATACCGTTTGCTTCCAACTCAAAATGTAATCTTAAGTCTCTGAAACTTTCAACCAAACTCAACTCTTAGACCATCATTGCAGAAACATGAACATCCTTTCTACTTAATGCATTAGCCATCACATTGGCCTTTCCTTGGTGGTAAAGTAGTTCAAACTCATAATCTTTCAAGAATTTCGTCCATCTCATTTGCCTCATGTTCAGTTCCTTCTGATCGAACAAGTATTTAAGACTTTTATGATCACTGAATACTTGGAACTGTGCACCATAAAGATAATGTCTCCATATCTTCAATGCAAACACCACTACTGTCAACTCCAAGTCATGAGTGGGGTAATTCTTCTCATGAACTTTAAGTTGTCTCTTGAAGCATATGAAACCACCTTCCCTTCTTGCATCAGTACACAACCTAACCCTTGGTAAGAGGCATCACAGAAAACTTCAAAAGATTTTCCTGTGTCCGGAATTACTAACACGGGAGCACTTATCAACCTTTGCTTTAGCTCTTGAAAGCTAACTTCACACCGATCAGTCCATGCAAAAGGCTGATCGTTCCTAGTCAATTGTGTCAACGACGCTACTATCTTAGAAAATCCTTCAATGAACCGCCTATAGTAGCCTTCCAATCCCATAAAACTCCTTATCTTAGTGGCCGACTAAGGTCTCTTCCATTGAAGCACCACCTACACCTTTGTAGGATCCACAGAGATACCTCCTACTGAGATTACATGTCCTAAAAATTGCACCTCTTCCATCTAGAATTCACACTTAGACAGTTTGGCATACAACTTCTTCTCCCTTAACACACCGACTACTGTCCTAAGGTGATCATCATGCTTTTCATGAGTTTTAGAATAAATAAGTATGTCACCTATACAGACAACAACAAATTTATCTAAGAATGGTTTGAAGATACAGTTCATGTAATTCATGAATATAGCTGGACTATTAGTAATACCAAACAACATTACTACATACTCATAATGGCCATACCGAGACCTGAAGGTTGTCTTCTGCACATCACCCTCCTTAACCAAATTCTGATGGTATCCTGACCTCAAGTCTATCTTGGAAAACATAGTAGCCCCATACAATTGATCCATCAAATCGTCAATCCTTGGTAATGGGTATTTGTTCTTGATGGTGAACTTGTTCAACTGCCTATAATCCACATAAAGCCGAGAACTGCCATCTTTCTTCTTAACCAGGAACACAGGAGCACCCCACGGAGATGCACTTGGCCGAATGAACTGCTTCTCCATTAAATCTTCAATCTGCTTCTTGAGCTCAGCTAGCTCTATTAGAGCTATTGATACTGAGCCTGCGCCTGACACCAGATCAATAGATAATTCCACTTCTTTTGGAGGAGGTAATCTAGGCACCTCTTCAGGAAAAATGTCCAGAAATTCGCTTACGACCGAACGGTCTATACTCCGCTCATCTTGGACCGAACGACTTGAACGCTGTTCATTTTGAACTCCTTCCAAGTGAGATGGCACTAGGAAGCAACTAGCACCTTCCATTATATCTTGCCTTAACACACCGATCTACAACGACTCTTCCTGCTCTTCTTCTGGAAACACCAACTTCTTCTCACCATAGTCTATAAGAATGTGATTGACAGCTAACCAATTCATTCCTAAAATTACTTCTAAACCTTGGAGAGCTAAGCAGATTAGGTTCACTTTGAACCGACGACCCTCAACCACTATTGGAAATTTTGCACAATAAGTAGCCGTCTTAACCTCACCAGCTGCTGGAGTTGACACCATCAGATCAAACTAAAGCTCTCCCACATACAATCCCAACTTCTCAACACATGCCTTCGAGATGAAGGAATGTGTTGCCCCCGAATCAAACAACACACAACAGGAAATACCATGCAGCAAACAAGTAATCATGATAAGGTTACCTAAATTTGCTGCCTTGGTACCTGATAGTGCGTAGACTCGTCCGGTAGCCTGCGCCCTTCCACCAACACCACCACCTCTTGATTGGAACCTGCCCGCTTGATGTGGCTGTCCACTAGCCCTTCTTCCCAACGGACAATCCCTCTCAAAGTGCCGTTCTCTTTGGCACCTGTTGCACATTCTGAAACCAGCCCCTTGAGGACACATAACTTGATAGTGAGGACCTCCATAGATAAAACACCTCACTGCCCCAGAACTTGACTGACCGAACGACACCGTGGACTGTGAAGACTGACCTCGAGAACCTGTAGAAGGAAATCGAGCATAGGGAGTCCTACTTGGACTGAGACCACTCTTGGCGGAAATAGACCCTCCCACTCTTGGTTGTTGCTTTTGCGTTCCTTCAACCTCTATCTTAGTCTTCTCCAAGATTTTTGCTCTTTCTACAAAAACGGGAAACTCCTTGATGCATAAACCGGCAACTACCAACTTGATATTGCCCCTCAGTCCGTTTTCAAACTTTCTACACTGTCATTCCTCATCCATGGCCAAAGTGTGGAATCTGAGTAGGTGCTTAAACCGGTCGGCATACTCAAACACCGACATGGTTCCCTGAACCAACTGTAGGAATTCCACTTCCTTAGCAAACCGAACACTGTCTGGAAAGTATTCGGTATAAAACTTCTTGAAAACTTCCCATGAGATGGGAGTAACACTACTTTCTAGTAGCACCCTCATGGTAGTCCACCAATGACTGGCTTCTTCGGTCAGCAAATACTCGGAATAGGCCAACCTGTTGTCATCCGAGCACCTATTGGCATTGTAAATTCGTTCCATATCTCGAAACCAATTGTCAACTTCATCCGGACTGCACTTGTCATCAAACTTGGCCGGATGATGTTGAAGAAAACTTTCCAAACTCCACTCTTGAGGATGATTGGAGGAAGAAGAACCCGCTGTAGCCCGACCACTTAACATTAAATCCAAATATTTCCTCTGGGATGTCTCAACTGACACCCTAACAGCATCCAACTGTTGCAAAGCTACAATATGTTGATGAACTAATGCAGTATTTTGTTGCTGCATTGCTTCCAACACTGACTCCATCATTCTCAAAACATTGGACGTATCAAGATTGTGGGGTGGAGAAGGAGGAGATCTATTTGCCATCTTCTATTTACATAGCGAGAAAAGGCCATCAGTCTAACTCAATAAAACAAAGACAACCACTATACATAGCTAAGAGTACACAAGCACAAGCAAGGCACACTCAAAACCTACAGGATTCCTAAGGAAAGAACTGCTATGATACTATTGATGTAACATCCCAAAAATATAACATAAAACTATATACAGGAGTCATCATTTAATAATATAGTAAAACAGTTACTGGAAATAAAGTTAACCTTATAGTTATTACAAAATAACCATAAAATTTAAAACTTTACAAAATTCCTACACTATTCCAAAACTATGTGCATAATCCGAACGATTATTACCAAGTTAGGATTATAACTGAACGGTTCATACAAAACTATTAACAAGATTAAACAGTAAATTACTACTAAATGGTTGGTCTTTCTTCTTCCTCCAAAGCTTGCTCCACCGAGCATTCCTCTACCTCTGCTCACACCCAAAGGTGATCATTGCAAGAGAATAACCGAACAGGAACATGGACAAAACAGGAAATAAGGGTAAGTTAATGTAATTTAAGTATATATACATACATACATTTCTCACAAGTCAAAACAATGCAAGGCCGAACACTACAACATACCAAAATCGAATACAAGCAAACATATGCAAATCAAGTACTCAAGTAGTTATGACCGAACACCATAATTCATGCATAGACCGAGCACTTGACTTGACCATCCGGATTGTATGAATGTGTAGCTACAGACATTCTTGCACTTGTGGTGGTGAAACAACAAGACCCGATCAAGCTACCCCACAAGGTTAGTCTAGTGAAGATTACCTCGATACCCTGAGGTTAAAGGACCTCCTGCCCTGCTCACACATGAGTTACTCCTCTCTACTTGAGAATGAGTAATCACAGAATATCAGGATAAACACCAGCTTAGCACGATACCCACATTCATACTTTACAATTCAATAACCATCCACGAGACATTCTGTCTTGGAATTCTCTTCCACAGTACTTAAAAACACAATCCTCATCAATTAACATAACATGTCATTCAACAATCATATCCTCACTCATAAGACCGAGAACCCTGTGAACGTTGGAAACTGAACAGTTTCTCACCACCCCAGAACAAAACCGAACAATCTATAACAGACAAGACCTAACAATTGACCGAACACTGGCGAAGGCCGACTACTAGGGAAAGCGTAACTCTACATTAAAGTTGAGTACCAAAACTAGGTTGAATACCAAGACTAAACCAAATACTAATATAATACCGAGCGCTAACACTACAATAACTACTAGTATAAGATCGTGCGCCAGCACTAGCACAACTGCTAGTATAAGACCGAGCGCTTGACCAAGACTAAACAACCAACTGTGCACACTCCGCGTTCTACATAATTCTGCATAATTTCTAGAGAATTACGAAGAACACCAAAATTTACCACTTTTATACATTTTTGGCTAACTTAATGATTCTAACAGGTCACAATGCACTTGTTCAAACTCACCTCACTCCCAAAATCACTCCCAACCTCAAACTTTCATTTTCACTTTCTCACTTCCTCAAATTGACACCGGCCGAACACTTTTTCTGCATAATACTCCCCAAATCCAGTTCACAGAGTTCAGTCCTCACATTCAATTGAAAACAGTAATTCAACATGCATTTCAATCAATCATACAATTCATTTCAAACATATAAAAATACAAGTTAAATTATTTAGCTTACCTTACCTCGAATGAACCAGACAAATTCTACACTTCCACCATCTTGCCTAACCCGCAAGTGATTAACTTCTAAGGCAGCCTACTAAATTCCTATCGGTGAAAAGGAACCAACCATAGGACCAAGACAAAAAACAGATTCAGAGCAGTAGTTGATGAACACATGCAAGCTGAAGATTGTTTGCATGTAATAGAAAATGCAGAAACCTTAAAGGATGAAGGAATTGAACTTACCAACACCAAAACAATAACTTAGTCGGTGAAAAGAGGAGCTCTTAGCACCAGGAAAGCTCAGGCACGGCCTGATTGATGATCAGATGAAGAAAAGGTGAGAATTTCTAGAGAGAAGGAGGAGAAAAGGAAAACTCATAAATTTGGAGAGAAGAAGTGCATGTAGAGAATGACATGAAATTTTGAAAAGTTCATTTATATACTACCGTCAAAACCGATCGGTGTACTCAGATACATACATCTGACTTCCCACTTTCTCTGAATTTCTCAGTTCTTACATATTGCATTCCAAGGAAACTTTAAGGATTTTGAAAAGCTTTTGAAAGAATAATTTTTTAAAGGGCTAACCAATGCACCTCCTCTTGGTTGAGATAATTGCCATCACTTTTTCTACACATGTATTTTAAGCTTTAAATTGTTCTTTGGATTCAAAAATGCTTTGCAATAATCGATTAGCTAAAATGGATAATCGATTATCACAGAGCAAGTTTGTTAAGCCAAAAACTCAAAATGGCATCTAAAATTATCAATTACGAGGAACTAATAATCGATTATGGCTAATCGATTATGACTTATAATAATCGATTATAATGACTAACTGTTGGAAATTTTGAGCACACTTTTGGCTATTGTACTTTCATTAATTGCATAATGGATTACCTAAATGGGATAATTGATGATCACAGCGAGAAAAGTTTGACAATAAATTTTTGGAGGTGTCATTGAGTGAATTCTTTAATTAGAAGTTTTAGACTCTCATTAAAAAAAATACAACACTCAATTAGAATAGATTTGAAATGAGAAGCTAGAGAGCTTGTGAAACTCTCTATAGAGGATTTGGAAACTTGGTGTGATTGAGTGTTGTTGTTGTTGCTGCTAAGTGAAGTCTGTCATCCTTTATGAAACATTCAGAGGAGGTGTCCATCATTGTGGTGTTCAGGGGAAGTGAGTATCATCTCTTGTGGTTTCAAGAGAGGTATTTTCTAAACCTTTAAGCTTGTTCATGTGTGATTGTAGGTTTTATACATTTTGTGATAGTGAATCGTTGATATCTCATTTTGGAGATTAGAAATTGGACGTAGGGTTTGTTGATCAAATCTCTCTTTCCTTACACTTTTTTATTGTTCTTGATATTATCTGTTAAGTTTAAAAAGAAAGAAGAAAAATTATTTTAAAGCACAAGAACTCAATTCATCCTGTCATCTTGATTTTTGTCAAAACATGCAAACATTCAGTTGCACCGCTCTAATATGATCATAAGTTATTTCTTAAGTTGATGAATTAATTGTATTTTTAATGTTTGGAGTTTATTTTATATAATAATATTTACTTTGGGTTTCAGAATATTCTGGTTTATTATTAAACATACTTCATGTTAATCAAATCATTTGAATCATAAAAAAAATTAAATTATTTGCATTTTTGATGGTGTTGAAAATCCCAACAATGTAAATCCTGAAACTATTAACGGTTTTGGACAACCCATACAAGTCTCGGCAGTTTTGAATAACTCCAACAACTATCGACGTTTTTAGAGACCCACACAAGTAGTAACGATTTTGATGAAAACCTTGCAAGTGACTGCAGTTTTTATAAAACTCCTATAAATAATAGCGATTATGATAAAAATCACCGAGAAGTATTTTTCGAGAGTGATTTTCCCGACTATTTTTTCAACCATGAAAAATGTATTTATTAGTGGTTAAAATTGTCATTTGCAAACAAAAAAACCTCTTATAATATCAAAGATTGTTGTAGTAAGTTTTTTTGTTTACAAGTTTTTTACTTAATGTAAAAGACAAACAACTTTTACAGCCGTCTATAGATGGTTATGATCATAATCAAGGATAATCAAGGTGAAAATTGATTTCAATATATTTCGAATTCGTAAAAATCAATCAAAAAATATGATCGTTGTATGCGAATTACACGAACTGTTATGTATCTTTTTTTTTTCATTGTGTTACTTTAAACAAGGTAATAAAGGTTTTTTTTTATATCCGTAATTTTAATGTAAAATGTCTTTAGTTTTTATGTTTTTCACATCAACGTCGACGTATGTCGGTATTTTGTGACATAATAAAAAGACATAAAAACGTCATTTATACTTGTGGTTGATTTCTAATTGAATTAGTTAGATAGCAAAATCATAAAAACTTATATCGATTTATCTCTTTCAATTCTAATTAAATTATTGGAAAATGAGTTTAGGTAAACT